CATTCCTCTCAAGATTTTTTCACTCATATGGAGACACCACCACATGCAGGTGGAGATCTGCAAATTTTGTCCTATACTCGGCACTTACGGCCATTGAGCATCGAGGGATTTTTTTCGTGGCAGCACCTACTGCGACACAGGACCTTGATTTATACGGTCTCATCTGAAGGACCAGCCTCCCCATCCCACAGTGGGATTTGAACCTGCAACGTAAGGATCAACTCCTTACTTCACTACTCTAGAGCAGACGCTCTAACCACTGGGGCAACTACTCTCTATTTAAGTCACTTGTGCAATGACTTTAGTTTAATTCAAAGTTTTGTGCTGATCATGTTGAGTCACATTAGCACAAATATCTTTCTGCTGACCTTGACTAATGACCATCCGCAACTATTCTGGTTGGAAACAATATGTTAATTAATGCATAATATGTGAAATTACTATGAAAGAAAAATGGTCTACTTAAACCACAAGTTATATTTATAAAAAATATACACTGGTATCCTTAAGTCATATGAGAGAAACATAAAATATTAAGGAGACCATTTTTTTCATATATTTTTAGGAGGCATTTATTATGAAAAAATAAAGCAAGAGTCGACTAAATGGTGTTCTATAGATCTTTGATCTGGTATTTCTTGTTAGAAAAAAGCAAATTTAAAAAATCTGTATATTGTCTCCTTAAGCCATATATAATGGTCTGGTCTCCCTAGTCCTTAAATCAGAGTTATATATATATATATATATATATATATATATATATATATATATATATATATATATATGTTTTTATTGAGTTTATGACTTTCTTAAAATGAATGAATAAAATTATTGTATTTCAATACTTTCGCGGGTATGTTAAGACTACACCCAGAGATATCTTACTTGCCTTTACAATATGACGTCATAGTAAGCTGTATGACGTGAAATTTAGAAATAACGATTTCTTATTATCTATATTTAAAGTTTAATTTCAGGTCCAAGAAATGAATGGAATCATTCAAAACATAATATAAACTAAATCTTGTCGTTTTTGGGTGGTATAAATAGCTAATTATTTAGCACGGGGTTAAATACCAAACCCATGACGTCATAACTATTGATCAAATATTTGTCGAGTGAAATTAAAGGTGACGAGAATTCATGTAATCAGAGACATATAATAATAATCTATTATATGTCTCTGATGTAATCAAATATATGAAATGGGAGTTTTGAAGCATATACCTTGAATGTTATGTGTGATTTATAAGGAATTAAAGATTAAGAATAAGGTACGCTGATATATTCCTATCTTGTTTTCTTATAACGAACACAGGCAGTGCTTTGAAATCCCGATCAGCCTTTCCTCTGTCGTTCTATAACAACAAAGATGCAAAAGTTCAACACTACGCCGCATACTTTGAAACATAATTTTTGTTTGTATCGAAAGCTTGTATTCAATAGTACGTGGAAAGTGCTGCTAGAAACGTGTGGTTAACATGAATTAACAGGCCCGTTGGAAGCAAATTCAATTTGAGGGGGCACAACCATACATTTTCAGTTGAGGGGGCACTATCAACTACCAAAATTCCTTGACAAGCAAAATAAAAAAAAATTAAAAAAAAGGTCAGCAGACGTTATTATTGAGGGGGCACAAGCATATTGTAGCTAATTTTTCTACAGTATTCTATATATCGGCAAAATTATAGGGGGGGGGGGGGGCACCCCCCCCCGTGCCCCCTCCCCCCCGGTTCCTACGGCCATGATTAATAACAATTCCTTGATCGTATGTATAAACTGTACAAATTTTGGTAAGGTTTCATGCGAAACTTTGGATTATTTTTTTCTGTGTCGGGAGAGTAGGATTCTAGCAGCACTTTTCATGATCCAGTGATGTTTTTACATAATCATTTTCAATCAAAGAAATGAATTATCTCCGCGGTAGTGTTGAACTTTTCACTTTTTCATTAAGGCTAATTTTCTATTTATAGACGTCACGTGATGACGTCGTGGTGGAGTGCTTCTTTTAGCCTAAGACTCAATGACGTCTATACAATTGATAATAATAGTAAATGTTTTATCTATGGCTTTTCCGATTTATCAATGTTACATTTTACGAAAAAGTCTAAATTCGCCGAAATTTGATCTGGGTACTGCCTTAACACACCTGCGTTGTTTCCCATTGTAACATTTGTAATGCAGTGAAGTCTGTTTTCCACACATTATCATGGGAATCTGAACGTGTTCAAAAATGCTATTTTTCAACCTTTATGGCATATATCCATGGTTTCTATGACAAAAAGCAACCAATGTTTGCTTGGTATGGGTTTATAATATCAAATACTTGAATACAAAGTTTGCAGAATTTCTGTAATTATGCGTGCCACAGGTCCTATATATAAGAGTTCAAGTCATTACAGAGTATTGCTCTGCAGATATCAAGTAAAAAATATTTGAGGCCACCTTTAAAAATGTTTGTTTGCCCTCTCCCTTCCGACTGGCTAAAAATGTTTCGACTAAAAACCTGTTTTTACCTCAAGGACACGATATGTTTTTTTCCTTTTCATTTCAGAATTTTCTCATCCCGTCAACAAGCACTTTTTTATATATTTCAAAAATTCAGCATTAATGTTGAGATTTTCTAAGGAAAAAGAGTTTTCCGACCTACGTACCGACCCAATTCTTTTTTTTTTTTTTTTTTTTTTTTTTTTTTGCCCCGAGTCGGGTGAACACAAAAAGCCATTATTTTAAAGATGGAGATTACGAACAGTAATAAAACTGTACTTGAACGCAGTGGGATAACATAATTCACTTCCTGTAATCACACACTGTTAATGCTCATTACAAAACGTATTAAGCATATTTCTTGATTCTGAAATGGATACAAAGGATTTAACACCAGTACATTGTACTTCTTTTACTATTCCACTGAAACCATTGAGAGTGAGAAAATCTAAATAAATCATTATAAATTTTTTCACCATATGTATTATTTTTTTTCTAAACATACAGAAAAAAATGAAACCAAAACTAAAGAAATTTTTAGGAAAAGGAAAATCTGAGTCTAAAAAGTCTTTAAAATTAATGCATAGCAATATACAGATTGTTAAATGTGCTACATGTACTCCTTACTTAGAACTGGTAGGTTATCTTTAGAGAAAAAAGTTTTTAAATAAACCTTTATTTATTTATTTACTTATTTATTTATTTGAATTATTTTTGAATTCCCTGCAGTTTACGAAAGTGACCTATTTGCTTGCTATTCTGGATAATGATTTTTTTTACAACCTACAAACGCCCCTTAATCAAAATATTGATTCAACTTAATTCAAACGTTGGGTTTGATCTTTATAGTGAAAAAAAATTAAAAGTTTTTAATATGCATATTGTGCAAGAAAACAAGTAAGTTATCTTACATGAAGTATTTGCTTTAGATATGGTGGTGATTATACAAAATATTCAATTCACATGCAAGTGTATACATTGGGTTACATAGGGATATTTCTTCAGTCAGATGGCTCTTAGAATAACATGTATTAAATATACACAAAAAGGCATCTAAAATTTGGATATACAAGCATTATTCATTAAAATATTTATTGAAATGATTCCATTTAAATATTATTTTTTCTTTCTATTTTTGAATATGTGGACATTGCGTTTGATAAGTGCATTCCAACTTGCTTAAAAAGATTAGGTTGGGGCAGAATAATTACAGGACTCAGAGTGATATCTCCAAGATCATGTTTTATTGTGAACTTTATTTTATAAAAAAAAAATCATAAACTTAATCCTATTTATAAAGTAATGAATAATACTGCGCCTGATTATTTATCAATTTTCCTCTTTTTCAGTTCAACACACAAATTGCGGATCTAAAATGCAATAATGTGCTTCCCAATATGTGAGTTCAATTTTCTATAATGTTTCTTACTCTTCAATGCTTCTGAAACTAAAAACTTTGGAATACTCTTATTGAGAAAGGTAACATCTTTGTAGATATGGTAATACAGAAGAGAAAATCATACGTTGTCGAGTGCAAAACAATTCTAGCAATCTAAATGCACATTGAAGAAATAATTTTATCAGATGATCAAACAAGTGATCATTCAAGTGAAGACAGTGAATTTTCATCGTGGATACGGAAAATTACATAATAAATCTTTTGAAGTGTACATCAAACGATGTTCAAAGAAACAAACGAATCAAACGATGCAATTTAAAACAATTTCCTGTGGAAAAGAAAGTGTCTGTATTCTTATCAGACTGTGATTTTGTGATTTGTTATGTACATTGATTTATTTCACTTAAAACTATATAATTCTATGTACTAAGTTATATTCCATATTTCATAAGAAGGTGAGAAATTTCATTTAAGGGGGTCGTCATTATTCAATATTTTTTGCTCACCTGAGCAAAACGCTCTAGTAAGGTTTTCTGATCAAAGAGTGTCGGGCGTTCGGCTTTTCAACTTTTTCTCAGGAACCAACCAAACTCGCCACAAATCACTCTTGAGTATAGGGGATTCAAGTTTGTTGAATTGAAAGACCACATCCTCTTCCAAAGGAGAAAATTAAGAATTAGTGAACATTTAAAGGCATCTTCAAAGAAATTCCCCCTGAAGAAGAAAAGGACCGGAAAATAATGGGAAAAATGACAGCTTCATTAAAAGTGTAAATTCATTTTTTTTTGTCAGATCATGACCCTGGGAATGGGTGGGTTGGAGGGGTCACAATAGGCGATCAATTTTCTTTGGAACAGCAAAGCAATGATTAGTCATATTATAATGAAAGTATATTTAGTTGGTGTAGATTTTAATTTTGGTCAAATCTTGATCCCCAAGGTAGGGTAGTGCCTCACTAGGCAGTCAAACTTTTGTCTATAGATATATAGGAAAGTACCATTAAAAGTTTTCTGTAAATAATGCTTGATTTTCAGAGTCAACTGTAGATAACAGAAATGCACTGTATAATATCAACCGTTATTTCTTCGTAAACTTCGGAATATTGAATCTTTACCTTAAATTGTAGGTGTTCGCGTACTGTCATTGTGCCCAGAAATAGATCTTCCTGTTGTAAATAAGCTGACATGTTGTTCATATCCTCCTTGTTTACAGTTCGGTTGTTTATTTTTATGACTCCGTCAATAGAAAGGGAACGAATGTTTCGAAAAGTTAGAACATTCATCAGTGTCGTTTTCCCTGCACCACTAATATAAAAAAAAAGAGATAAATAGAAAGTCATGTTTTTTAAAATATGTTTGAATTAGTGGAAACTTGTTGGCGGGTTAAAAGATAAAGCAACATCGAAAATGTATTTTGACACAAAATGACAAATTAGAACACCTTTATGAACATTTGTGATGGAAATAATTTTATTTATATTCTTCAAAATCAATTATTTTTTCTGGAAATACCATTGAAACATAAAGGTATTTAAAACAACATTATAAAAAGGAAATTTTGTAATGTGAATCACTGTGTAATATTTAATAATTGCTATATTATTTAGATATGACTTGCAGTATAAACAATGAAAATTCGTTAATAAAACTAAGACCACTATATATATATATATATATATATATATATATATATATATATATATATATATATATATATATATATATATATATATATATATATACTGTAAATCACTTTTTATTCGCGAAAATATCATTCTCGCGTATAATAGTAATCCTTAAAATTATAGAGCAAAAACTACAATTCGTGAAAATTTTGTCTCGCTTATAAAGAGTAAATGACCATCTCGCAAAAATAAATTGTCGCGAAAATTAAGTGATATTCAGTATATATTACCTTGCTCCCATGATGGCAACAAGTCTTCCAGGCTTTATCTCTCCGCTCACTATCAAAGGCAAAGACAGAAGTATAAAATGTAGCAAAGGAAAATATCCAGAGTCACAATTTACTGAAATTCATCAATACTGTATACAGGGAAACTTTCACCCCCGTTTTATTTTCGCCCCTTTCGCCCTACCCTCATTTGGGCGAAATTAAAACGGGGCGAATTAAAGGAATACAGTATTATTTCTTAAACAAAACTATGACTGGGAGAATTTAAAACCGGGCAAACTTGTTTGCAAGTGTGAAAGGGCGAAAATAACACGGGGTGAAAATAACCCTGTATACAGTATTCGTGAAGGACTAATGCTGGTGGATTTCATGGGTCACCTTTATCCACGAATTTACATCCCTAAGAACAATTATTTTGTCAACATATTATTCGTTGAATCTTCTGTCTTTGCGAGTTACCCAAGAAATTACGTCCCCATGAACCGCCAAATCTTGCCTGCTCACGAATATTGACCCCCACGAATTAAAATGATTCCACACTAGTTGCTGCAGATATTTAAACTTGACTTAGATTTACAACAATCTATATCTTATTTTGTATTAAGTGTAACGACTGGTCAGTTTGCAATCAAATTGTTAGCTGTAAAGAAACTTTTGTTGTCTTATTTTATAAGTGAAATTGATTCTTTTACACTAATTCTTTGTTATTAGACAACAATGTGGATTATATAGCCTACCGTTATGGAGGAGGAGTTTACGGGAAGAATTCTGTTTTCTGCATCCACATCTGGATAAAATTGACACGGTGACGTCATTCCATGATAGCGTCACTTGCTGATTCTGAGATATACATGTATCTCTATTGTATGCGTAGTCTACCCATATCTTGTCGGATGTTTTCACTGCTTCTTTATATAAAAAATACAAAAAAGAGTTTTCCTATGCCTATGCATTTATTCATATTGATAAAGGGGTAGTTGATGAACGATACATATATTGTAACATACATCTAGATACATTTTTTACATTTCATGTCTTTAAAAGAATAAAACTATAGGTACTATGAGCACTGAGCTCACAATCTGATACCCTCCACTCCCATACCAGTACAATGGCAAAGTCCATGTTTTGGTGAAACCCAAAATATCTGTCCGAAAAAAGGTAAGATAGAAGGTTAATAATGGAAATATTTCATGAATATTCTGTGAAAAACTAATTAAATTTTATTCAGTGGTTAAGAAGGAGTTATGGTTAAGAGATGTGTACATTTAATATTATAGAACGAATGGCACTGTCCATTATTTAGCTAAAAGAATAGAGAAATATCTATCCAATCAAAACGTGCACAATGGCACTATTTAATACATGTGAATGTCCTGTGAATATCTCATTAAATAAATTATGTTCATTGGCACATGTATAGGAGGAGTTGGGGATAGGAGATTGGTACCTTCAATGTTTATGAAAAATGGCAGTTTCCGTGTTTTGCTATGGGAAACTCCAAATATTTTTCCATTCAAAACTTAAAATAGAAGGTGATCCATGTCCATGCTTTTATGTAATTAAGGACGTGAGGACGGAAGGATGTGAGGACGAACACCCCTATCACTATATTCGCATCATTTTTAAGCGAGGAAGTGGGGTATAATATAATGGGTTAAATTTAAACAAATGGAATGAAACGTCACTAATTGATAAAATAAATGTTTCTACATTTGAAATTTGGATTATCTTAAAACTTTCAAAAATGATATGATTTTCGAAGGGTGGCATTGTCAGTGTAACTTTTGATATCAAAACCGTTGTAAATATATGTATGTCTATCAATATTATTTTTCATTGTTATGCCAAAAAGCTTAAAATATTAAATAGGAAAAGGATAAATAAGGAAGGTTCTAAATGTACCACAACATACGTGCATATTAAAATCTTTGAAAAACCCAAGATTACAATTTTCTCCCCCTAAATTAACCTTTTGCCCAAGTTTTATTCCTCATTGAAGACCTTCCTTACCCCGGGGTCATGATTTGTACAAAATCGAACCCTCACTTTCTGAGTATGCTGTTGTATCAATATAAGTAATCATTGCCTTGTCGTCTTGAGAAGATGTTTTGAAAATGTTCTTACTATATATGCCTATGTAAAACTTTGACAACTTTTGATCAACATGAAGTCTACCTTTATTATTCATTTCTCATTTCTGAATTACCATTATCATTATTGTCAGTTGATAATGTGTTACATTGTTTTCGAATGATTCAGGACATGTTGATAAAAGGTTCATTGAATAATGACAACACCATGCCAGATTACAACAACATAAAAACAGGCTGAAAACTGTGGAAGATTTTTCACAACATTATCTTTTTTGGCTTCATTTGATTCTGCAACTTTACTACCTTTTAACTTTTTTGTGCCTTATAACCAATGCAATATGTGGAACGTAAATAACTTTTCATAACCAAAAAAAAAAAAAAAATAAATAACCCGTCTTGTGCGAATGTTACCTGAAACTACATGTAAGATCATTTTTTTTTTAATAAATGAAATTTGTTTTATTGTTTATGAATAAAAAATAAAGTTTATTATCCCCCCCTCCCAACATACATCTCTTGCGTTCAAGATTTCTTTGTAAATAAGTGATATTCGGTGACAATGCTCAATTATGTGTCCAAAATTTTAATTTTGATATAAAATATCAGCTACTTTTTGAATGAAACAACTATTATATTTTAAATTTACTTACCTAGCGTTGGATCAAAAGTGGTGTTATTGTAACTTTGGACAGACGTCATTTTCCCCTTGATATTATAAGTAACAAGACCAGAAACACCTGTAAGGAGTGAATCAAAGTGTCACCAGTAATATTTATAGTAGTTACTCTTCTACATGAAATGTGCTTCTATTTCTTGGTGGCATATTCAAATTCTACGGAGATTATCATGGTTTCTGTCTTTCATTATTTCTGGTTTTCCTAAACTTGCCGTCTTTTAATCAATGAGACAGCACATGTTCAAAGAGTTGGGGAATAGCTATCTCCTCATTTGTTATGTGCGACCATTTATGCTGATATAACGGTCGCGATCTGAGTTGTACCGGCGACCCGTAAGCTGTAAAAGGGATGCTTGCGACCGTTTTAACAGCATGACCAGTCGCAAATAACAAATGAAAAGATAATTATTCCCATTCTAATGCAATTTTGAACTATATTAGGGGTACGTCTTATTTTGTAGAGTTTTGGTAAATGAATCACATGTACGTCACGAAGCATTGCAGTTTTTGCGTCGTCATAAAAACTTTCACTCTCGTAAAGGAATTTCACTAATCAACTTTTGAGAACTATTTGATCAGAACCTCTAACTTCAAAACTCTTTATTACAAATCAATTTTATAACATATTTGAATTAAACAATTTAAAATATAAGATATTCAGTTTAAAAACTGCTCACAAACTCGTAGAAAAACAAGATCTATAGGAGACTATTTTTTTTTTTTATCGTGGAAGGATATTTAGAAGAAAATTCTTGAAATCTACACATTTGTTGAATTAAATACTTTTTGAACATTATGTTTTGAATATTTTTACTTGGGGATTTCTTTTTCCGTTACTATATGCTAGGAATATTAAAAATAGGTTTCAATTTATATGTTTACAACAAATTTTACACATTTCACGCAATAAACTTACTAGAAAAAGAAGATATATGGAAGAATTCAAAATAAAATTTCGTTTTTCTCCCCTGAAAATAGAATATTTTGACCAATATCTCAAACTTTACATCACCTCCCTCAACTTTTTCTTTTATTATTTTGAACTACATGATACTCTCAACAAATCATCACTAAAGTCATAAAAAGCCTGATATATACAAGAAAACATTTCATTGCCTGTTTAGAATTTTGATACCCCAAGTACATGTATGATATTTTTTGAATGCAAAAAGGTCAAACAATAATTTACGCACATTAATTTGTATAAATATTATTCAAACTATTTATATAAAATAAGATTTGATTACATATCGTTTAATATTATAGAGATTAAAGTGATAAACCTAAAAGTTACAATTTAATTGTAAAATGTCAAGTTAATTGTACGGTTGCTCAGGTAGATTCACACTGATTCCAATTTTCTTTGCCATTTTTAGTCATGCAATATGAGTAGTAACCTAATGGAGACTTCACAAAATATCCTTTGTAACTCATGTCAGGAGTGACATACCTTAATGCTCTTTTAACTGCGATTGGGAGGTCATAGGAAATAAGAAAAATTGAGAGCAATGTTCGAAATTAACATTTTAAAATTCTGTAAAAAAAAAAAAAATCGTGTTATCCTAGTATGTACAATGTACATGTATTTGGTCTGTCAAAAAATGATTTGGAAATGATAACACTTTAAATAATTCATAATTTCCTTTATAACAGAAAAAGATTTTGCCCAATGCTATCGTCACAAAATGAGATAGAGACGCTTGTGGGGGACAGATTAGTATATAAGATCAACCTCCATAGTAATATAATTTAACGTAATTGCTAATATCTTTAACAGATCTCACTCATCCGATAAATGAATATGGAATAAAATGGCAGAATTGACTGGTCAATTTCAAATAAAAGTTTGTGATGGAAGTCATTCATGGATTACTTCTGAGTTTGTCTTTCGATTGTTTTCGATTGATAAATGAATGTCTATCAAGGCTGTGAATTTCAAAAGTGCTTAAACAAAACCCTTCACTTAAAACTTAGCAATTACCTACCTTCTACAATGAAGTGTAAGACAGCTATCCCACTCTAACAAATAATAGATATTAAATCGTCGACTCAGCACATGGCACTCTTTTACTTCGCTAATCATGAAGTTGTTTAGCTTCCTGTTTCTTGGGTAGCCAATGACAAAAAGATTCATTTAGAGATAAAAGTCATGCAAATTCCTTGAGCTTTGGAGCTAGTTGATGCATCATCAAATTGCTTTATTACGTCACACAGAAATTAAGACAATCTGTCCTTTAAAGCAATTATTTTAATGATCTTTAGTTCTTTTCCTAGTTGAAATGATTATTGATTAACTCTCTAAAAATATGCATTAATTTTAAAATAAATATACACTGTATTTCACCTTGTTTCTTCTGCAAATTGTAAATCCAGACGTCGCTTGTAGCCTCTATAGTAATTAACTTCTACACTTGATTTAAAAAAAGCAAAGCCTTTGTTACAATTCAATGCACTGCACCACCATGAAAAAGTTGACAGGACCCAATATAGTCCTTTGAATGCTTTAAATCTTTTCATGTGCACTGTCTGACATATATCAATTATGTAACTTAAAAAATGTTCAATGGCATTTTTAAAGGTAGGTCCATAGACTCAAAGGACTATGGGCTTTTATGAACATTTACATCCTAATTTACAATTATAAATTCCTTAATATATACATGTACCTCCAAAAGAGCATAAAAACATCTATTAGGTCACCGATACTTTTATATTGATAGGGTATAAAGTCTATTGAAAGCAGTCTGTGCTTTACGTGGGAAAAGTCATTTTACTCATGACATGTTAAATCAAAAGGACAGGGATGTTGAGAGACAGGAGTAATGACCCTCTGATAAGAGAGATAACTTCTTAGAAATATAATAGAACATGATTCAAAAGTTTATTTCACCATTCTTTAATAATGTAGACCTCTTCTCAGACGGAGTCTATTCATGTAAAAACAAGTATAAGACGCAGACATTGGCTTATTTTTTCTTTTGTAAATATATTTAGAATTAGAACCCAGTTGATTTCTCTTTTCAATTTCTAAAAGGTTAATTTCTATCTCTTCAAGGACAATTTAAAAATAACAGTAACTAATCAATGCTACGTGTATAGTATTCTCATTTAATTTGTACATTTATTTTCATAAAGAAATATTTTGAAGAAAGTTGAGTCTTGCTGATGAACGCATTTTTCATAAACACAGAAAATCCGGATAATAGAATGATATCCTGAATTAAAAAGCATCGTTACATCATGTTTTCTATAATGACTTTATTAGGTATGACACTAAATTTTATTTTCATATACTGTAAACGTACCTAATTTAGAGCATTCAAAATTCGATTAGGATTAGGATACTGTAAAATCACATATTTTCATGCGGGCAAATTTTCGTGGTTTGAAGAAAAAATATGGTTTATGGGGATTTAATTTCGTGAATGATGGATTCGTTGAGTACATGTAGTTATGTATATGACATTTTACATTTCGTGGTGGGCATGAATTTGTGGATCTTTTCATACCTCGAAAACAACGGAAATTAAATCCTCACGTAAATTGATTTCACAGTAATCTGTTTTTGTTTTCAACACATATAAGCACGTACTTGAATTAAGGGACAAGAAACAGCGCGAAAATTACCGCTAAATTAAACACGTTTAAATAATAGTATTCATTATAGTCCTTAATTTATGTATGCATGTAAATTAATGCCATTTAGAGGCAAGATATTAATTCTTTTTTGTCCCATTTTACTCATAAGTGACATACACCAAAATTGGTTTAAATTGGTTCAGTCACTCCAGAGAAGCTAAAAATTATGAAAACAGCAATAGGTCACCTGAGTGACTCACGTGACCTAGGAACAAGTGTGGACTGTGCTGTACAATGTTAATATTTCGTGACTAAAAAAACTGACACTAGGTAGATGATTTTATCAAGAGATAATTTTTGATAGAGATATCAAATTTTAAAACAAATCACTGTAACAGAATCATCTCTGAACAATTTATCATAATAGCTATCGATGGAAATGTGTGCTTATTACATGTAAACTTACAAAAAACTGTTTGCTGACGCCTCATTTCCACAAACAGTTTAGCCAAATGCCTTTATGTGCTTATACTTGGTATATTGTACAGATTTAGATAGCAAATATACGAGAAACATCAAGTTTGATTAATATTTGTATTAATAATAATTTCTTTTCGATGCCTTCCAATTTTTCATAACAACAAAGATGCTATTTTTCAAATATTTATTGTTACGTTGATAATTTTGCTTTGATAAATAAAATCAAAAATGAAATTATTCTGAATGCCACTGCTAAAGCGGCTAAACATATCCAGTCCGGGATTTGGTTGCCCTGTAAAACAAAAGAATGTTTTTTTTTTCTTTTTCAAATTGTTTATAAACAAAGCCAGGCATATAATGTTACAAGGAAATTTATAAGATGATTCAATAAGACTGGCTAGATTTTGGCAAGAGATTCTTAGTAACATTCTAACTCAATTTTTCTTTTTAAATTTTGGAAACCCTCTTTAGTAAGACAGAAAACAATGTAAAATCATACAGTATAAAAAATAAGCATGGAAGTATAAAGTTTATTCTCTTTTTGAAAACAATTCTAGGCAAATTAAATCTTACAAAAATGCAAGTATTGTCAATAGTGAAAGATTTACTAGTTTTGAAAAGTTCATACCTTACGATATCCTAAATTTTCAATGACTAGACTTCCATTTGAAATGCATGTTGCATTGTTATTGCACCCTACAAAAATGGAAAACATAAAGTCATATCCTTATTTATTCAAATATGCTTGTAACTAGTTCTAAAGTAGCTGCTAGAGAGATCTCTGATCTTTGAGATATATATATATATATATATATATATATATATATATATATATATATATATATATATATATATATATATATATATATATGATTAGCTTATTAAAATTAGCTACTTTCAAACTTTTATTGGAATTAAACGTTCATGTATTTACGAAGGTTTTCTTATTTTCTTATCATGTAAGTTAGGTTACTCTTACACTGCATATTCCTCTGTTACTTATAGTCCGGCAGTAGCAGTTTATTTTGTGTGTATGGGTTATAAATAGTTTAAATAACCTTGTGTAGCCAATGACACATACTACACCATTAATAACATCTCTTTTTTAAATTACACTAACCTATATGATGAACATTGGTCCACTGATTTACAATCATTAACTCGTTGCTGTACATGAACCATGAGGAATATTTTAACCACAGGAAGTAATCAGGTACAGTCCTGAAACGTTAGTACATTGCGTGTAAACAATGATAAACACAGGGAAAGTTTTAAATTTACGTACAAAGTGAACATAATCAATGAACACATCGTCCATCAGGAGTTAATATGAAAGCAAAACTTTTTATTCAAGATTTTCTACCTACTAAGTCATGTTCACTTTTTATTTAAACAAATTTATAACATTCATTTCTAATATCTTACTTTAAAACTGGTTTTAAAAAGTCACAAAATTATGCTGAGAATCATAGTGTAATATAGTGGAAGAAACATAAGCAGAAATTAACAATCAATCATTTTTAATCAATATAATTTTGAATTTTTTTAGGGTGTTTTTTTTCTTTGATACCTACCTACTATTCAAGAAAAATCCGCCATTCATCATCAAAGGCATGATTAACAACGGGGCTATAGCTAAAGCTGCTGTGATAGAGGGAGCACTGGCAGATATGACATATCCTGCAAAAAAATGTTATATAATCACTGCATTTTGTGAATTGGTCAAGTATAACATATTAATATTATACTAGTATGCAGATTACCAGTGTGCATAGATAGTTTTTCCCTATGTATTTGCCAATGTCAACCCAATAATCTGGCCTAACTCTAACTCTATTCTAATTGGCCATCGTTGGATCACATCATGATCGCATGAGAATGCTTGTCAATCAAAATAATCTAAATGAAGCTCAATTTTTCCTGATAAGATTTTAAGAAAAAGATTTTTGAATAAAATCCTCAGGTAAACTTTGATCTCTACTGTGGTCTAACTCTAGCCCCAGAGGCCATTAATTTAACAAGTTTTTATCTACGTTCATTGAGGAAGCCTTTGCTCTTGTATTGTTTTTTTTCCAGCTCAGTGATTTACCAACCCCCTTTTCTGTATTTTTTCACTAAATATCCATAGCGTTCAAGGGACATAGGTCTCCATTGAATAAATTTGAATTCCTTTTGCCAGATACGTTATTATTGGTGCAGTAGTATGTCGAAAAAAGTCAAAATTCAGTCAAGTATTCTGTCAAGTTCACAGAAGGAAAATGAAACATAAAAAGGACTGAACCTTAGCTTTGCTTTTGGTTCAATTGAGCTAAATGTTATACTATGGAATTCAAATATCATCAGATAGGATGGTTAAGTAATAAAAATATTTTATTTACCAAATCCAGCTGCTGTGTTCGCAACCAGTATGGATATCCCAATAGCTGTGATAAATTTTATCACTTCATATACAAAACCTGAAAATATGGATATTAAGTAAAGTTCAAATTTCCAATTGCATGAGATGTAACAATTGAATAAAGTCTCGTTTATTTTTTTATATATACTTTAAACATACCGCTCATCCAGTACAGAATAGACATGAATATGGTCGGAGTTATGATCAGGAAGGGAATCTAATGAAAATGAAACATACATGTCTAAATTCATTTTAAGAAGCATTGTTTGTGAAAAAGATGGTAGTGCGATTTTCTATTTTAATTTTTTTTTTACAATTCACATATTAAAAAGTATATATTGTAAAGCTGATTAAATGTGCTAAAAATCCAAATACATGACACTTCATTTAACCAACCTCGACCATAATTTTGCTGAGATAATACACATCTACCCTGTATAATTTACACCCATATTCTCTTACAAACACGGGAACTTCACATGGAAAAACCTGAAATATTTATCATCAATATAAACACCGTCTTTATTTAAATGTTTGATGACCGATATAAAATCAAGAAGAGCTCTTTGTAAGCCCCAATTTAATAGATGTAAAAATGAATATACTAGTCCTACACTGTATATTCTATTATTCCAATGGATTAAATGTGCATTATTTACACCACATGATTTCTCACAAAAATATGGTGTTTTAGATCTCTGCAATATTTATACTATTCATATGGTAAATGTATATCAATTATCAAACTGTCAACATACATTTAAGATAGGTAGAATAGTGTCCAAGCTTAATGACACTATGGCAAAGAAAATGCATCCATTAATGTTCATGACGTCATCTTGTTTGTAATCATTGTCCGTCTTCAAATAAAAGAGTCCAAGTATAACAGCAAACAGCTACAAGTAAACAAAAAGGACATGGTGAATCATTTATAAGTTATTGCTAAAATATGGTAAGAAAATTAAAAGACAAAATGGCCTACATTTATGTAGAACAAAAAGAATGAAAAAGGTAAGGATAAATGAACACTGCTGTATCTCAATAACTCTAAAAGCAATACAAATTTGTGAACAGGCATAAAAATCAGACCCCCGAAAATTCCAGAGGTGGGATCAGGTGCCTAGAAGGAGGAAGCTTCCCCTGTTAACCGGTCACACCTGACGGGAGACCTGTGTATTGATCAGGTAGACGGAATATTCCGTAGTCAAATTTAGTATAAAAATCAAGAGCCTAAAATTTGGTATCAAAAACATAGGCCAGAATACGACCCAATTATAGGTTATATTTGTTAATAATATCTTTCTTATTCATAAAGACCAAAGAATTTAAGAATTCTGACTTTAAACGAGGTTGTTTAAAATCCTGTAACATCAACTTATCCGTCAGTAGTCTGCCTCGGTTTAAAAATTGATTGTACTCAGAACATGCTCTTGAGTGTCAAGTAATTATATATAAGTTGGGAGATGTAATTATAAACACCATATGCAAGTAAATCTGAATAATACTACATAAATAAGGAAAGTTGACGATAGAAAAGTCATCTCCTTTGCTTTTTTTCCTTCTCATGAAGATGTTTTTGAATAATTTCCACTTCAAAGGAATATAAAAACAGATCGGCTAATAAAGGAGCAAAAATATTGCCCAGTTGCAGTTTGTAGGAAGACATGGTCTCTCTCTGCTCATAAAGGACATTTCGGTTTTGTCTAGACCAAATCATCCACAATATTTTATAAAGTGTATATTTTGCAACCAAGTCAATATTTATTAGCTTAAAGACTTTTAATTTTATTTTTTTCCTTTTGAGAGTTTAAATTTAAATCAATTTGTTTTCAATGATCATGGTCTGCTGTTTATCTTTTCAGATTGTTAACCAACTTTGAAACTGAAGGTCAGGCTATAATCATGTTTCCTTACATTCTTTAAAATACTTACTATAGATTCAGCAATCTTAATTTTCACCAAGGTTGGGTTGCGAATATTAGTGATCCAACTTCTCCAAAGAAGATGATGTAACTGTTTAAAGAATGGTGCTTGATATCTAAAAACAAGTACTAAATATCAAGGCATACAGTTCAAAATAGGATACCTTGTAGGTAAAAACTACAACAAGAAATATAAGAGGATAAGGAGAAATGATGGAAATAAATTATTCTATTTAAAAATATTTGAAAACAAATTCACATATATATAAAGTTTGATGATGCTTATACATGATGCACGGCCAGTGTTTGAGAAACCCTTAATTTCATGAAATCATCTCTTAAACTCATTATTTTCGTTTTGAATTCAGACTTCTCATTGAAAACTACAGTGTATCTTATCCAAAAATAATTAATACGACAATTTTACTTACCTTGGTAAGGATTCTTTATTCTGTTTAAAATATGGATATCATTTATATATATCATTTATATTCTTTATTCTGTTTAAAATATGGATATCATTTATATATATCATTTATATAATATTTTATTTTAAATCGTAATTTTACTGAAATAACAATGTATTTGCAATAAGACTACAAGTTTATATTTATTTGAAAGTAGATTTAAAGTTTTTAAAGTTAAAAAATGAACAATAAAAGAAATTAATACATGTGTTTTTACGAATTTAAGGGGGTAAAACTGTTTCAATGTTGATAGTATTTCAATTACAACAGGGAAATTTACCTTTATAGTTTTTATATTAGGAATACCACTTCTTCCAGGTAGATTTGGTAATGTCGTCAACCCGTTGCAAATAATCTAAAAAAAAAAAAAATAACGAAGCACGTTTGAAATATAATTTTCGGTAGTTTTAAAATCCAACATATTTCAGTTAATACTTCCATTTCTTAATTGTTGAGTATTTCTGTAGACCTAGCAGTACATTTTGGATGCATATGGTTTGCTTTATTAAAAACGCACGTTCAAAACTTAATCTCACTTAATTCCCTTACATTGGAATCTGTTGAGTTTTGTTTCCCATTTTCAAGTTGAAGTGTCTTGGCTTTTTCAAACTCTTTCCGTAATTTCTAGAGGATACAAATAAAGATTATCAAACTATTTTATATATATTATTTACTTGCTAGTTGTGTTAAGATATTCCATCTCCTTATGCAGTGCATAAAATTGTTCAAGAAGTATCATACTGAAAATGGTTCTTGAAATATTTTTCCTGCAAATATATTGGTAAACTCTTATAAAATTGTGTATCAAGTTTACAAATGCATCTAGGCAAATAAAAAAAAATCCTACCTGTATTTTTGCATTACATGCCTGTTCGTGTCCAGGAACCATTGCCAAAGTAAGGATAAAATGGTCAGCAGGGTTGTAGTTTACTGGGCAAGGGTAGCCATGTCTATAAATAGCAGTATCTATAAACAGTAGCACATGCTTTTTATAAATCTACTGAGTGCAACAAGAGAAAGGTTATATCGTACATATATGAAGAGAAAAAATGAACATGAAAATATTTTCTCTATCTCTCTTTATACATGTAAATGAATTTCTATACATTGTGACAAATTGGCCCAACTGGCTCGAAACATCCTAAAATTATCTGGCAATAATAATTTTATTTAGGAGAGGGAGAAAACGTGATTACTACAGTATATTGTTCTTACAATAATTGTTATGATTTTCCTTTTGTAGAAGCTGATCTTTTCCTTACTTTTTAAAAAAGTCCAAGCCATGCATTGTGTATCCAGTAAAAACACAGTGTCCCTCGGCCAGAAGGTAAATTCTGTAAAACCAGACTATAATAAGGGCATTCCCAATACGCTCTTTTATTTACACTAAGTACAAATACATGTACTGCACACTGAATTACATGATTGTATATATACCGTATGATATACATTTATTTCGAAGCTGAATATCTAATAAACTACCCAGTATGAGAAAATTTTGAATATTTTGTGTACCTACTCGTCAAAAAGAGCAAATACTTCGGAAGAAGGCTGATGGATAGTGCATAAAACCGTGTGACCTTTATGCACCAGCATCTTCAAGCTCTGAATGACGCTTGACGCCATGAAGGAATCTAAACCGGAAGTTGGTTCGTCACAGAACATCAATGGAGGTTTCATCAATAGCTGTTAAAAAGAGATAACCCATTTTTTAAAATATTTCAAAACCTTTAAGTAAAAAAGTTAAAATGTGATACTCAGGGATTGTCAATCATTTCCTTCAATTCTTTAAAATATTTTTATGAGCTGCTGTTCCGTATAAGCACATTCAATATTAATTTTTGCTGATCTCTCAAAGTTTTACTTCTTAACTAGTGTGCATTTACTAAGACTGATCATTGATATTATGCCATTTGTCAATTTCTTCGCAAAGGTATGATTATCCCCGAACTTTCTAAAGGAAGTTCGGGTATTTTATTGTCATCCTATGTCCGTCTGCCCATCCGTCTGTCACACTATCTTCTTCCTCAAACTACTCTTACATTTTAAAAGCAGTATGATTGGTGGTGCCTTGAAAATGAGCAAAAATTTTTTTTATTTTCACCCTAAGAGCCAAATGCGGGTGAAAAACAGTAATTTTTTCCTACAAATCCAGGTTCCCTGATATCCTCTTACATTTTACGCAGTAGCCACATCATCTTTCGGAAAATGGTTGGTAGTGTCTGTAGATGTGCAACAAGGTTTCAGAATTTTCATTTTCACATTATATGGGCAAAGTTGGGGTCGAAAAACGTCGTTTTTTTCCTTACAAAAACATGGTTTCCTGAACTCCTCTTACATTTTGTTTGCAGTTGCCTATACATATTTTGGAATATGATTTGGAGTGTCCTGTAGATGTGCAAAGTAGTTCTAGAATTTAAATTTTCACCCTGTGAGTTTCCGAATTTTCAACTTCACCCTAGGAGTCAAGTTGGGGTCAAAAAACTTTTTTTTACAAAACTGGGTTCCCTGAACTCCTCTTGCTTTTTTCACGTTGACGGTCATCTTTTTGAATAAGTCTGGGGTATCCTCTAGATGTGTATTTCGGTTTCGAGTTCAGTGTTCACCCTGGAAGCGATTGGGGGTCGAAAACGGACATTTTTGTAAATTATAGAATTATTGTGGTTGATTCCCGTGTTACCGAACTATGAAGGTAAGTACACATAGAGGCAAACACCTATGTGCGGGTATTCTGTCTTACATGTATAACAGTATCTAAGTCTTGCGATTACAATAATACGGATCATGTATATTTTTTTCTCTATACTCATAATTGTACATTTTCTTAGGTCCCCTTTGGAGAGAGAAACAACTATTTTTAAGACCCTAAAAGTTCCTTTTAAAAAAGAAGTATTTTGAATTATCCCGACTTTTGCCCTATCTTTGTCATACGAGATATATCTCACCTCTGCGGCGAAGGACAACCTTTTTCTTTCCCCTCCTGATATTCTTTGATTAGAATATGGCATGTCTATAATGGAGTCGGCACATTTGGACAATCCCAGCTAAAACATATAACGAATGATTCATGAAAATTTCATAAAAACCAAATAATTCAACCAAGTCCTGCACACCATTCAAAAGCTTCTACGATCTGGTCGCGTCATTTATACCTTATTTTATGTTCTTTTAAAAATGAATGATTGCAAAATGCATGTAGCGAGCAAATATTGAAGGAAACTTTAATATTCTATTAATATCTACATATAAACATGCCCCCGTCTTGGGAATAAACCCTTCCAGACATCGACGATTTTCTTTTGACAAATAAATTCTGACAGGACACATACCTCGCCTATCACTTCGTCTACTTTTCTTTCTCTAGCTTTAGAATCTGCATCCATTTGTAAACATGCCTGTAGAAGAAAGCTGTAAATTTTATTCAAGAAAATCATTTCAAGTTTGGCATGTACTATCCTTATTTCACATCAGGGTCCTAGGAAAAACGAAGAACGTTTGGTTTCTCATCTCATTCACAAGATCAAATAATCAGAGTATTACACGAAGAATAAATGAATAAAGAAACATGCAGTTCAATTTCCTGATTTCTCCAAAGGCACTTGGGGGCTGGACCCACCCCATCTTTTCCATTTTTTTTCCTCTTTTAAATCTGGGGTCGGAACACCTTTTTCCTATTGTTGTACTCTAATATGACTACCTGATATCCATAATGTAACTCTTTTGTTCTCAATAAGCTGTTTTTAAAGATATCGTTTTCGACTGATACATAAAAAGAGATTACATTATCGATATCAGGTAGTGCATATTAGAGTACAAAAATATGAAAATGGTGTGTTGACCGCAGATTTAAAAAAGAAAAAAATGGAAAGGGGGGAGGGGTCCTGCCCAAGTGCCTGAGGATCTCTCTCTCTCTCTCTCTCTAGAAAAATAAAAAAGACATTGTCTTCTCTAAAACGCAGTCATATATTTACGACCAGAAACCCTATCTTCTTACATGTAAATTTTGTTACAGTGTTTCCTTACCCTAAATATAAGGTGTTCCCGCACGGTCATTGTTCCTAAAAATAGATCTTCCTGTTGTAAATAAGCTGACATGTTGTTCATATCCTCTTTGTTTACAGTTCGGTTGTTTATTTTTATGTCTCCGTCAATAGATAGGGAATGTACATTTCGGAAAGTTAGAACATTCATCAGAGTTGTTTTCCCGGCGCCGCTGAAATAAACAAATAGATTAAGAAAGTAAATAATTGAGACATATTGTAATTAAATTATTGTCGTCTCTTTAAAAAAAAAATCAAACCTCTTTAAATCGAACCACTCTTTCTATATTACCTTGCTCCCATGATGGCTACAAGTTTTCCAGGCCTGATTTCACCACATACTGTCAAAATTAAAGAATAAAAAAAAAAATAATTAAAATTGTGCATCAATGACTACTTTATATTGGTTAAATTGAAGATATTTGCACGGATAAGATTAACTGGTTTCTTTAAAAAATGAAATTTTGAACATTTTTCTGCATGGGAGATATATATATATATATATATATATATATATATATATATATATATATATATATATATATATATATATATATATATATATATAATATTCTGTTAAAAGATTATCTTTTGTATATTAATTAAACTCGTAAAGAATTATCTACAATCCATTTTATGAACTATTATGTTAATTAAAGAGTTAAATGTAGTACAGCCGATGATATATATATATACTTAAATCAATATTCAAAATTTTCGAGACTGATAATGGTACACGCAGATCTTTATAGCCTACCTTTATTCAGGAGAAGTTTGCGGGAAGAATTCCCCCGTTTCCTACAACATCCATGTCTGGATAAAGAGGACACAGTGACGTCATGCCATGATAACGTCACCTGTTGCCACTTTGGTATATCATTATTCTCCGTCTGGCTGATCCATAACTTATGGGAATTTTTCTCCGATTCTTAATTGAAATAAAATACCCAAATATATGTACCTTCGTCAGTGAAACTTGCTCAAAAACTTCGAATATTGCATAGCATATATTCATCATCCGCTATGAACAATAAACTGTTCTAATGAATATTTTTATTCTTAAGTATAGATTCTAGTCTATTATAAGAATTTCTTTAAAAATAACTACTTAAAATCAGCCAACTTTTCATAGATTTAAAAATTGATAAGGAAAGAAGGGGGAGGGGGCCTCCCCTAACTCGAGATGACTTGCACGCTTTAATTGTACACACTTTAATTACTATAACATATTAATTTAATCTGTGAAAAGGGGTATGTATGTTTTCCTTCAAACATACTATACATGTACATGTAGGTCAGAAGGACACTTTTAAAGTCATATATGGCGTATTTTTTATAAGTTCAGACTAACTTAACTTAAAAAGATCTGTCTATTTGTTTTATTACTTTATATAAAGATAGGACTTTCCTGTAAATTACACAATTTAAATCAATCACGTTTCAAAGATATTAGAAATTTAAAACAATAACCGATTTATTTACCGACTCCGCATTTAAATGACAGCCACTTTAAAGTCAATATAACTATAGAAACATGAGGTTATTCAAGTTCAAAATCGGTGAAAATTTTAATTTGAACGTAAATAATATATATCATGCAATCTCGTAATTTTATTTTTTTTTTTTTTAGCTCAGATACGCCATATAGAGCTTTAACAGGTCTTGTTTAAGAAGCTGCTGTTTTTAAAGCTATCTTGAACATGGTTTAATCTTTAAACTGTCTTTCAAAATGTATATTTCAAAGTAATGCCTTCAAAATAATAAAATAGTGAAAAATAAAAAAAAATCCTACATACTGACCATTTATTTTTATTTTCCTATTTCATTAGTACATGTAATCTTAAAGAAACCAATTATTTTTATTATTTTCAATGTATGATCTCCAATGGAATTACAGGAGAATAAATAGAGAGGATGAAGTTTTTATTCAGTGTTTGTGTGATTTCTAGTAAAGTATAATTCCAGTGGTTCTGTGCTTTTATTTCCCAGGTGTTGTTCTAAAAAATCCTTTTCTATCTTAAATTTCCTTAATTTTATAGAAAAATGAAAGAAAAAACCTTTTTATAAGACAGTTTTGGAAGTAGGCAGGAGGAAATTGCTTATATAAAGAATTTAAGTCGCCCTTTCCTTCGTATACCCTCGTATGTAAAGATCGATATCTTGCAAACAATTTCCACAGGAAGTATTATATAATGTGAAAACGTGAATGTCTGCTTTTTTAAACCTTACAAAGCTCCCTTGCAATAAATAGAGGTCGTGCACGTGTAAGGGGTCAACAACTGGTAAAGGACAATCATTATTACTTAAGGTGTATATGTTAATTAAATTCACTTACCTAATGTTGGTTCAAACGTTTTGTTATTGTAACATTGAACATTCGTCATTACCGCCTTAGTATAGACATCAACAAGACGATAAACATCGGCAGGAAAGCGATTTTGGTTGTCACCAGATATAAAGTTAACTTAATTAAAGTTGCCCTTCTCTCAAATGTTAATCGACAGACCTGGTAATTTAAAAACAGATGTTCTATGTTTCCGCCAAGAGAAAGAGAGAAACGGCTTAAAATTGTTCCGGTTGACGGGGAAATTTTATCAACAAAAAATTAACATGTACATGTGTAAATATAAATATTGAAAACATGTGAAATCTAACAAAACTAAAAATTATCTTTAGCAACACAGGATTATTCTAACGTCAACATAGCGTTATTATTGAATAAAAATTTCATAATGAATAAATATATAGATTTTAAGAACAATATTGATTAATACTAAAGATAATCAGTTAAATCTTTTTTTACGTCTAGATCTCACCTCACATGAAGCCTTGTGTCCATGTTTGTGGATAATTGAGCATTTATCGGAATATGGTAACCACAGTAATATCCTAAAGGGAAGGAACTCACTGTTCCGTAACCTGACTGATGAGAAACAGAATAATTAATATACGTACCACCGATAGGTGTTTCAACCTTTATGTTTATTCATGATTTATAAACAAATATAATGGAATGTACAAAATAATTCAGTCAACGAAGTATACAGCCTTCCTAATTAATTAAAACACATTTAACCTTACACCTTTGAACATTGTAGAAACTAACACAAGCATCAGAAGATATATATATATATATATATATATATATATATATATATATATATATATATATATATATATATATATATTGCTCGTATGAGAGTTTTGTATGAAGTACATGATGATATATTTATTATACAGGTAAACATATATGGCGCTGTCATGTACAATACAAAACGGCATCATTTAGTTCCATAACTTTTGCTCATAAACAAAATGATATTTTTATTAACTCTGTGTTACTTTAATTTTCTTCTTTATTATTTATCAACTAAGACCCCCAAATATGACAAAAAATGATAAAATGATATTGGACAGACCAAGGCGCCATATATATTTTTGTTTTTAGTATACGATCTAGTGATATATGTATATGCCTCTGGTTATGTTTGACCTTTATGGTATGAATGAAATGGCTAGATTTACAGGTCATTCACGGGTTAAACTGTTCATATATACATAATATGGCGAGATTTCCACAACGTGCTTCTCACTTCATTTGACACAGAATCGATAATTTATGTAAGAACTAATATTAATTAACCATTATAGATAAGTATAATTTATATTTGGAAATATCATATGTACGTGTATTTCACATTGAACAGAGTTCATAACTTCACTTATTTATATAAATCTCGACTCTAACATAAAAATTTAATGTATACATGTAGTGGATGTAAACAACACTCCAAACCGACTCCATTTTTCAAACTTTTTAGTAAACAAGACCATTCGACGCACATTCATAACATCTGTCTATTACACGCAGAGTCATCTAAAATTATCTGACATTTCAATTTATTTCATGACTTTTTATGACAGGGAAAATCAAATCATTCACGGCACGCCTTCTTAATCCACATGGACATAGTCCTGTATAACTACATTTAACTTGGTCGTCTTAATTTCATAATCAGGCTCCGTAGGAAGCAAGTTCAGTTTCAGGGGGCACAGCCTAATAACATTTTTGTTTGGGGGGGGGGGGGGTTACGGCCATATCATATTCCACAATAGTCATGATAGTTTTTATTTTAATATCAAATATACAAAGATTACATAATTATGTTTATTTTATACATGCATTAGGTAATACAATCGATGAAATTGTATTATATAGAGAAGCTCCATGCAATGCCAGAATACTGCAATAAACTGTTTTCTCCAGACAAAAATCAATATTTCTGTTCATAAGAAATAATGATATCGCGCTTCAGTATTTCATTTTGAAAACGATACAATATTAAAACACATACATGTAATTATAAGTAATTGTTGAACCCCTTTTCTGATACATTTAATTCAGCAGCGATAGCATTCATTTGACATGTACATCATTAGAGAAAGCTAGCATGTTGCATCTAAAAACACGCGTGAACTGTTTATATATTTAGGTACTTACTTACTTCGATCAAAGAGCCATACCACAAGCACAATTAAATCCGCTATGCTATATTTCGCCACACTGACTATTACAAAACCATGCGTTGTTCACCATTCGTAAGAAATCAGAGGTCACCGCCCTTGAATCTTGAAGCAAGCTGAATATAATGGGCGCAACAGATCAAAATCAATGTGAGAACGAGTCTAATTCATCGTTTTGCACTCGCTGTGTATCTGCCTCGATGTGGCGCTAAGAGAATAACAATTTAGCGCCGCGAGGCTATGCACTTTAAGCCAATATTTGAGAAATGGATTGTAATGGGAGATCGAAATCACCTAGAAAAAAATTCCATTTGGTCGACTGTCCATTTAAATTTTAATCCATTTCGATTGCTGTCTATTTATAGTTACACGTCTGGACACCAACCATAATTAAATCCGTAAACAACGTACATGTACACAGTTTATACATGTACAACGAGAGAGAGAGAGAGAGAGAGAGAGAGATCCTAGAGAGAGATAGACTAGATTTAATTATTTATTCATTACGGCGAAGTATTACATATATAGCCTTGGCATCTTAATTTACGCAAACTAAATGTACTTTTTTTCTTGCAAAATTAAACTACTTTTCTTTCAGATTGGGTTTGCCTTAATAAACATGTATAAGTTATTTATTTCAATAAAGTAAGATGTTCATAACAGTAAATGTTATTACTAACTACGTACATGTACATTGTACCTGGAAACACTTCCTATAAATAGAATTATATTTCAGGTCAAATTTTGTTGTGCCTTAATTAACCATCGCTTGTGCCGAAGGTTTTAACTGTGTTATTTATGACGTCATCAAATACAATGGAGTATGAAGTATTATGTAATTATTTTGAGATGATGGTCACACAGAGGGAATTGTAGTGTCAAGATGATATTGATATTCAGATTATTAATCTAATTTACACAATATATGTACCAGTACATGGATTATACATGTATATTGTACTTTTAAATTTGAGTGAGCTATACTCTTTGTGATTTTTCTAGAGAGATACCCTTGCTTATATAGTGTTACCGTGTCTTTAATTTAGCCAGAAAGTCGTCCTATTTTGCAAGTCCAATATCATGCTACAACTGTTTCCAAATGAGTTGAATCAAGGTTACGATGTTGGCAGTTGACCGAAGGAAGAGCACGTGTGTAGTTGTAAAGAATAAATTTGAAATGATGACATGTTCATTTGTAGATGTAATGAATAAATTTGAAATGTTTTTCTTTTGTTATCTAAAGGACAATGTTACAATCAGCCTTGAATTCCAGGGTAAAATTTCATTATTTTCATACAAATTATTCAAATTATTATCAACACAGATGTCTTTTGGATTGTATTATTTCAGTATCACTAAGGAAGAGTACATGTAAGCATATGCGATTGCGAAGGATAGACGTATCTCGTCCCTGACAGACTAATGACATTTTTGAAATGTATTCACAATGTTTATATAATCTAAGACCATTATATTACTAAAATTGAGCTCTTGTTTGTGGGGTCGCGTAGAAATAAAATTAAAAGAGGTGGCAGTTGTCACAAAAATTGGAGGAGCTCCCTCTACATGTAACTTATTAATTCTCATAGACTGACCAGAACCAGAAGTTATTTCCTTATAATGTTCGCATTTTGATTATTTATTGAAAATAAATTATGAATAAATTATGAATTTTCTTTCATATTTATTTTCCATGCATTCTCTATACCACACATCAAGACTAAATAATTTATCAAAGAAAACTATGTTACAATTCAATTAATTAAAGGATAAAACATGTTTGACTTAGAGTACGTGTACTGCTTTTGCATCATAACCTCCTTAAACCAGAATTATCTGCTGGTTTATTGCAACAACAAAAAAAAATATTGTTTACGTGGTTGTCATTCAACATATTAAAACTATAACTGAATATTGCCAATTTTGACATGAGTAACAGTTATAAAAATTTATGGATATAAATTGTTTTTTCACAATCACTTTCGGTTTCTTTTCATGAAAACAGAATTCTGGTTTCTGTTTTAAACTTATAATTTTAGAATAGTGTTGGTTGAGATATGCAGATAACGACCAAGATAAAGATTTGTCTTTAATCACGGGTTTCTTTTACAGTAAAAACTGTAGCTTTTTTATGCTAAAAGATTAACTTTAGAATTCTGGTTTCTGTTCAGTAACATCAGTTTTTGTTCAGTTATGCTTTTCTCATCTTCACCGCAACAGTTTTACAGCGCTCGTGGAATTAAAATCTTATGCTTAAATGATTATTTTATCGATAGTAAAATAATGTTATTCTTGAAAGGGCCAAGATTCATAAAAGAGAAATTTAATCATTCTTACGTCATTCGTGAAAAAAAACACGCTTGACCACAATCTGAGGTCATACATCTGATTCAGAGAAATCTGGACAGGTTTGATTATACTTGCAAAGAAGGATGGGAGGGTCGTAATAAATTATAGCGAGATTCCTGCAGGGACTTGAGAGTGAATTTGAGACTGTCTTATTTTAATGAATTTAATTAGTTTTCTTAACTGTAGCCAGCTTTTGGAAAACTTTGTATCCTTTATAAGCTATAGGGGGTTGTAAAGCATACTTGTTGGTGTACAAATGTACTCCAGGGTTCTCATCTTAATTTCCCCTTTCTTTTTTCCTCACTCCTCCCTCTTATTAATTGATAATTCAATTTTATGATAATATTTAAGAAAAAAGAGGTATGAATTTGTGTATAGAAGAATTAATAGTAATATTTCGATGGCATACCATCGGAACGTTCTATAGTTTAGTCATTACAATTCATATAATAAATAAAAAAAAATCTGATTTCACATCGAAATATATTCATTAAAACAAAACAGTAAATTCAAATCTGAAGAAATGTAGAATCCCCATTTACTCCTCTGTTATTTAAAATCACAAAATATAATATGCTCTGGTCCAATCCAATAAATAACAAGAAATAAAGATACATAAACGTATATTATTCTGTGTGCAATCTCTCGTTGAAAATATTACATAAAGTATACCCAAATTCAAATCTTTTTGATGTCACAGCTTCGGTGACTCTGAGTAATGCTTCCCTCTTCTAGAACTGTCTCTTACACATGGCAAATCTTGCCTCCTAGGGTTTGTTTTTGATAATTGTTGTTTTATCTGTTGTTTTGTTACTGATTTTTAATATAATCATATATTTAATAGACGACTAATCCACAAAAATCTTATTTTTAAAATGTCAAATGCAGATTGGTACAGATTTAAAATATACCAACACAAAATTTGAGAATTTGAAAATTTATACGCACGAAAATGTCCCGTTCATAGGTTAATTCAATTCAATTTATTCACTCAAAAACCATGTAAATAGTACATGAGGTACATAAACATATAAAATATATATACATATAATACAGTGGGTCAAGCAAAAGATGAGATTAATTCAGCTAGCTAGGGAGAACAGACCATACCATTAATCTTAGTAATAAATGTACATAATTTTTTCAAAGAATCAACATCATTTTGGCACATGACTTCACAAAACTTCATAGTGTTTGGCTTAGAACAAAAATTTTGGTTCAAAAACATTTTCCTCGGTTGGTTTAAAGCACTACATTCTAAAATATAATGATATTCATCTCCGATCTGATTACCATCACATAAGCTACAGAATCTTTCACTTCTTTGAGTACCATTCCATCTACCTGTTTCAATTGGAAGGTGGTGGTTTGTGGTTCTAAATTTAAAGTTTTTCTAAATTTACATGATAAGAGTGTTAAATATTTTTCGCACTCAAAATTGGTTTTAAAAATTCTATAATTTAAACTTTTTGAAGATTCTTGAACTTCACTATTCCACTTTTGAATATATTGATCTCTTAATCTTTGTTTGACTGTAGCAGTTATCCATTCTACATTTATTTATAGAAATATTGCTCATACCATATATTTGATCAACCACATCTGTCAAAAATATTTTGTACAAATGAAATCTAGGAGTTTATCATTTCTCCTTTATCATATTGTTTACGTAAATACATAAATACAATTCTACACAATTTGTTTTCTTTTCCATACACAAGTTTTGCCCAATATTTTACCATTCTTAAGTAAATATTTATATATAATGGAAACCGCCCAGTTTCTCCATAAATCATATAACTTGGAGTAGTACTTTTTTAAATTCAATATATGTTTCAGAAAACGTAAATGTACTCGTTCAATAATATCAATATTTTCATAACCCCATATTTCAAAGCCATATAACCAATACTGGTAAAACTACTTTATCAAACAGATCCAATTGACATTCGAAGGGTGGATTAAATTGTCTAATTTTACGTATAACACTACACATTGCTTGTTCACATAGGTGTTTTCTTGCTTTACATAATGAGCCTGTACGAGAAAATACAATCCCCAAAGAATTAAAATCTTTGACTACTTCTATGACACTGCCGTTATATGTAAAAATATTTTTTGGTTGTCTACCCTTTGAGAAAATAAGTATCTTTCTTTTCTTAATATTCACACACAATTTCCATTTTTCACAATATACGTAAAATTCATTTAATGCTCTTTGAAGATCGTCAGCAGTTTCCGCAAGTATTACTGTATCGTCGGCATAAAATAAGATAAACAATTTCATAAACAAAAACAGCTCATCCTTTATACCTTTGCTAATGCTAGACAAACCGACAATATTCTTTTCTATCAAAAAATCTTCCAAGTCATTGATAAACAATGAGAATAAGAAGGGCGATAAGTTTTCACCTTGTAAGAATATATACTATTGAAAACTTTCAAAAACCTGTGAATAACATAGAAATTATTCATTCGAAAATGAACGATGACAATTACGTAAAAGTTCAGATTCATACTTTACCAAATTAAAACAGATTTATACTCTATCAAAACCTAATTTATTATTTACAATTGTCCAGCTTTAAACGAAACTCAGAATATGATTTAAAAAAAAAAAACGATTGATAACAAATGATTGCGCCCATGACAAAAGGGCCTTATGGCAATTTTGCTAAAACAGAGAAATAACGTCATAAAGATATGACGTTGCAGACGGTGAGCGTCGACGCAGATTTTTTTATCCACGTGTTTTACGTTTTGACACGTCTAGCTCACTTTTGTCGTTGTTCTCAACATTGAAATAATTATTTATTTTTATTTATAT